AAATTTTAAGATTCTGTGAAAATATAACGGATTTTTGTGTTGACTTCTAAATTAATATTTGTTCGGTGTGTTATTGTACCTTAATCATTAAGGGGTTATTGCTAATTTAAATTATAATTTATATATTTTTATCTTGCACATTACATACACACATTATGTAAATTTATATTTACATATTTTTATCTTGCACATATGTATACTGGTCATCAAAATTAAAGGAAAATGAGAAAGAAGTGGTCACTAAGTTAATGTTGCATCCAGTGCTGTGATTATTTATGTTAATTAAATACAATTGAACACAAAATTGCATTTCCGTGCATCTGTTTGCACCAGAAATATGCAAATTCAGTGATTGACGATATGGTGGATTGCACACATTGTGGAATTCCAGTCTGTAGTGTTGTTTGAAGTGAATGTGATTTTTGAGAGTAATCAGTATTCAGTAGTTATGGCTCAAAGGCATCATTTAAGTATTTTTGTAATAACTATAAACTGTTTTCTGTTCATATTCTTAAAATACCAAATTTTTGCTCTTTCTGAAGTGCATCATTCTAAAATTAGAGCTGGAGGTAAATATGTAATTTTAAAAGCAGTAATGCAATTTTTTAATAAAATTATTTTATTGCTTTAAAAAAAAAGATGTTTTGAGCAACTCGTCATTGATATTTTATGTTTAAAATGGATATCTTGCATAAATATATGTAGGTTAATTTTTTATAAGTATATTTACTAATGTATGTTCTTATGACACTCAAATTTTAAGCTTTCATATGATGTATTGAGCATATTTTTTTCCCAAACATCCAGCATTGTCTTTTCTTTCTCCTCATTTGTTATTATAATCATCAACTGAATATAATTATAGTAAACTGAAAAAAAGACATTGTGATCCTTATAACAATAGGTGTTTCATATTGAATGGAACAAAAAGAATAGCATAGTATAAATTTTGTCATTGATTCATTAAACCAAAGCAAATTTAATTCTGAAAGCTCACAAATACATGCAATATTTTCTTTAGTCACACTGGTACGAGGATTACGGAGATGACCTCGATTCACAACATTGCACCAAACCTTCACTCTTGACAATGAAAGCAGAGCTTTCCCGAACTGGGAAAGCAGTCTGCAGTAAATTTCGGCTGTTTTCACATACAAGGAGCTTCATAATTGTGTGTTTCTGAACAGAGATGGGCGCACTCCCCTCGCTTATCATAAGGGCTACTAAATAAAGCACAGGACAAGCCGGCTGCAGTGGTTCCCTTGCTCTGGAGAACTCCACCAAGCAACTTCAACTGCCTAGACTTCTACAAATATCCATCCTGATGCTGAACCAATAAAGGCTCATTCATATTTGATAGCCCTTTATATATGTGTGTGTCTTTTCAAAATTCATATGTCATAACTATTATGTCTGATTAATGAAATTTGTTCCTTTTTAGTCTAGACGAGTTTGAACGTGAATCTGAAGATGAGGATGAGGAATTTCGTGTCACTCCTCGTCTTTATTCGCTCTTTCCTACAGCATCTTTTAGAGAACTTGGAATAGATACTTCAAGAGATACTTAGTAAGTCCCATGTTGTATATGTGTGTGCATGTACTATATATACTGTATGTATGTGTGCTAAGTATAATTAATAAATGTATCATATATATTTGCATAATTTCTGCCTAGTTCTTTTTTCAGCATATGATACAGGGTAACAGTGTAAAATGCGTTCACAAAGTAAGTGAAAAGAATGTTCTTGAAATTGATATGTCCTTTAAAGCAAATAGTATAATATGATAGTATAATTTTTGTGCTTTGAATGTGCAGTGTGTATTGTATAAGCCAGCTCTTCAGAAATAAATTACACAAATTACTCCCTTACATAAAAAGGGAGGGGAATATGCACACAGAGTAGAGTTCTGAAAATCACACATCTTAGGACTATAATTTCTGCAGATTGGAGAAGTTTCCATATTATAGGCCATGACTTAGTTTTGTTTAGATTTCTCCTATACCAATTTTTATAAATTTGCATTGTTTCTATGTAAGTATCTTTAATACCTGATTTAACCAGGTTTCAGTTTAACTGGATCTTAACTGAGAAGTAAAAGGTCACAAAACAACTGAATAAAGCAGAATTTCTTTGGTAAGTGGGGGAAAAAAAAAAAGAGAAAAATTTTAAAAAATGGGAGATGTTTAATAGCAGATGCTATCACAGTGTTTAGGAATTGCTTTTAATCATAACGATATACAGTTTAATTGTATTGAAATGTATTAGTGTTGCCAAAAAAATTGCTGAATATCAAAAATAATTTGAGTGTACATTTCTTAATTTTTTGTTTCCCATCCACTTGTATTGAAATGCAAAAATACTATAAATAAAAGAAGTTTTTTTCTGTTTTTAAGTGCATTTCCTCTTTTCCTTATCTTTCTTCCTGTTCCGAGTGTTTATTTAATTTGCTTAACCAGTGGGGCTTGTCTCCAAATTAAACTGCTTAAACATACAGGCAAATGCTAATAAGCATTTTCTGTTGATTTTCATGTTGATTATTCATCTTTAGTGTGCTTTTTCATTTGCTGTTGAATTAGCCATGAACTATATCCCAGGTGATTGGAAGTCTGCTTTAACTACTAAAGTGTACGCATATTTTAAGAAGTATTCTTTCAAAATTTAAGTATATTAAGCAGTTTTTTTTTAATGCAGTTGTGTACAAAGAAAATAATGCTAGTGCAACAGCAAAACTTAGCGTACAAGAAAAAGCAGAAATGAGACAGAAGTATTTTGAGGAAATAACTCTTGAGAAATGCACGAAATATTTTGTAGGAAAACGGTTGGCATATTTACTAGCAAAATGACTTTCAAAGTAACTTTTATGTTTGTAAATGAAAGAAAAAGCATGTGAGAAATATGGTAAGTCGATTGAGCTAAAAGTAAACACAGTATGTGAAAGTCATGGCAAGTCGTTCAAGTTATAAATACATGTGTTACATTTAATGATAAGTAATGATTATGTAAAAGTTTATTTTGTGATATTCTGCGATAACAAGAACCATTCCTGAAGTATGATTAGGTGAACTCTGAAAGAAAAAGACATTGACTGAAATGGTGAAATATTCAATAGGACTCTAAAAATTAAAAATTTATTTAAAAAAATGAATATTTATAAATTATACTTTACAAGATCAAAGTTTTATGATTTATGTTTTTTTTTTTTTCATTTGCTAGTGCTTTAAACTTTTTTTTTTTTTTTAAAGGCTTCTCTGTTGCTACACGTTTTTCCTCTTGAAGAGGGGGGCCAATATGTAAGAAAAATAAAGAATATGTAAAAGATTAAATTAGCAGCGTAAATTAATTTCCCTTCTATATTCTAAAAATAACAGCATTTGTTTGCACTGCGTAATTTTGAGAAAAATCTATGTCATATGACTCTTACTTAATTCTGTTGATGTAAATTGAACTAAAACTCAAGCAGCCAATAATAATTTTACAGTAATATTAACTATCCAATCAAAATGCTTTGAGAACCAAAACTTACTCGGTTCAATTTAAGATTTCATCCTGAACATTACGCACTTTGTGTCATCATTCAAATGTCTAATTGAATGTCCAGATGTAGATATTGAGATGTGGAGTAGTGATTCACTGTTGACAGAGATCTTCAACAAGAAACCAAATTGCAGGCATTTGCTTCCTTCATTGATGTGATTAAAAAAAAAAAAAAAAAAAGTACTACGCAGTGAGTTGCCGAATTTCCAGCCTTCAGAAGGGAAAAAAAAATGTTTTGTAAGAAAGTGACAGATTTAATAAATGCTTACTTTAACCATAAAAAAGTGCCTATCCATTAGTTAAATCCCCCCCCCCCCAATTCTCCACTTTAACCAGGATTTTGCTTAACTGTCTTAATCCCGGTCCCATTTAGGCTGGTTAAGGGGGAGTCTTCTGTAATTTGAAAATGTTAAATGTGAATCATATTTGCGATCTTCCTCAGTTGACACTCAATTTATGCTTCACCTCATTGTATGTAATTGGACAGTGTTTCTTATAAATGACTTATTTAACATGTCTTGCAATTTCTCGACAAATGACTTCACTTCAAACATTAAAGGCCTTTATTACTCTTTAAAATACTTTTTCTTCTAGGGCGATAAAAACAGTCTAGTCTCACGAGCCTTGCCAGAAAATAAAGAATGCAGAACAGTCCCTTTCTTTATGTTAAAAAGTAAATCATTGGCTGTAGAATATCATTCAACATCTTTAAATTTTACCTATTGTGGAAATATAATTTTGTTTAATCTGTGCTTTAGCTAATGAAACACGTTCTTTGTCTTCAACTTTTGTATGAAGAAATACGAGTAATTCTGATAATTTATCACAATAGGAATTTTTACATTAGTTCAACATAGGATTCCTTAGCCTATAAGGTATTTCTCCTGCCTTCCTAGCATGGCGTCGTAGTGTAGTAATCAGCACGCTCGGCACCTATTCGAGAAGCCAGTGGTTCGAGTCCCGGCGAAGGCGTTGCTCATTTATCATCTCTCCTGCTTTAAAAAAATAGCTAATGTCTGTACAGTGGTGCTCAAAGTAAAAAAGGTGGTGGATGATTATTCTTCACCACTAGCATTTGGCGATTGGGTCCCCTAATCCCCACTCACCCTTTAAAGGAGGAAGTAAGTAAGGTATTTCTACCGCCTTCTTAGCATGCCTTCGTAATGTAGTCGTCAGCATACTTGACGCGTATTTGAGAGGCCTGTTCTTTGAGTCCCAGCATAAAGGCGTTGCTCATTTTTCATCTCTCCTGCTTTCAGAAAATTACTTATGTTTATAAGCTCAGTCTTAAGCGATTCTTCAGGTACACAAGTTCAACTAAAGAGACCTACCAATATAGCCGAATATTTATCAGTAGTCATGCCAATAGACTCAAGTGACCTTAAATAGGATTCTAATTTATCCCATAGGTGAACTGTGCCACTTTTGGTTTGACCACTTCTAGTATTTTTTACCACACTTTTTAAATTCATGTGCACAGAATTTCACAAGCAGTTCAACCCAACCAAATCTTGTTTTTATGCTTTCAATCACTTTTCTGTAGTTTTCTGCTGTAGGAAGGTAATTATCAGTAATGTCCTTTGCGCAGCTACTGGGAAACATACACTATAAACAGTAATGGAAATTATCTGCCTCTTCTGCTGATTCATAATCATGAATTCTGCTAAATTGACTCCAAAAAGTGATCCATTTTCTTATTTTCAAGCCAAACTTTACAAGCTCAGTTTTTGGAAGTTTCAGTTTAGTCTGAGTTCAGTTCAGCACTGAAGGAAACTTATTTTCTGCTGCGGGCATATATATACGCCTTGCTCAGCCCATGCGTTAACTGCCACGGGCGTATATATACGCCCTTCCAAAATACTATTGTTTGCTTTGCGCAGCTACCCGTAAAATTATTCACAAAGCTTTGGAATGCAACACAATGAACTTTGCAAAGTATGCGAAGGAGGATACTATTTCAGAGAAGTGTGGGGAGAAATTGGAGAGAGAGGTGTGTCTAATGTGGTGAAAGTAATGACTGCACGGTATTGGCTGGTGTTGTTTGAGTAAGTTTTTTTCTGTGTCCTCCGTTTTCGTTTACATTTTGTAGTAGGTTACAGGAATAAAGAAAGGTATAATGGATGTTTCAAACCCATTTATCTTTTTTGATGAACTGCTCGTGCTTCATATTGATACCGAAACTAACCATTTTGTAGATGACTATATGAAGCAACACCTTGCAAACGAAAAATCAAGAACAAAATCGTGGCATTCAACCAGTTCAGAAGAAATATATGTTTTTTTTAGGCATACTGATTTCACAACATATATTGAATATATGTTTTCACTGAAACCTGATATTACACTTTACTTGTCTAAAAATGAATTGATCGAAACTCCATTTTAGGGATCTTTTTTATTATAAAAAACATCATTTTTATTATACTTACATCTTTTTATTATACTTTTACTCAAAACATTAAATTTTGCGCATTCATTTTTTTCTTTTATTCTTTATTTTGTGAAAGTAAAACTTGCACTTATTTTCTCCCTAATATATCGCATAACTGCGCGCACCATGTGTGAAAAACCGTGGCACTGTTAAATGAATCTTGTTTATTTTCCATGGCAGTTAAGTGGTTAAAATTCAGTGTTAAAAGATTGACACAGGTTTTAACTTCATAACATCTTTCTCTATAACTCTACATTTCATACTCATTTATTATTTTGTTTCCGATTCATCGTTAAGCAATAACTCCAATATTTCTTTTTCCAAGGTCCATTAAATTAAAAAAAAGCCCTTTCCAAAGGCGAAAATTTTACTTTAGTATTTTCAATAGTTATATCAGTACCTTCAAGTATTGTTTTTATGCTGTGACATATTTTCATGAAGTTTGCCCTTATTGGCATCTTTTCTTGATTAGAATATTCACTATGCAGTTATCAAGCAGACAGATACAAAACAACTGTTTAAAACTTTAGACATAGTGCATAAATAGTGATTTGACCTTTCAAACTCAAATCACAAATCAAATTCAGGATCATAACAATG